AATGTTTGTCTGTGATTTGTGCATATCGAGATCCTCGTGGGTTCCAACAGTTCGGTGGACGGGAGTACGTACGTCGGGCTCGACGACGTTGTTTGGCTCGCCGATTTGCGTGGAGGTTGAGTGTAACACCCCGCCTAGACTTACTAAACTCAGAGTAAATTTTTCGTGCTATAAAAGGAAAGCTCTGTTATAATTTTCAAAAACTCATATTAATTTTTTGAAAATACTTTAACTTTAATATGCGGGATGCTACTCAATTTTAATCTTAAATCTTTAATCTTTAATATCTTTAAACTACTAGGCATGCAACCGAGTATAATTCACTACTCTAAATATCTCAGGATTTAAACTTGCATAGACTAAAATTCTAGATACTGAAATACTGAGTGCGGAAGCAAATGCAAGCATGCATCAACAAAGCATAATAACTCAACATGTTAAAATATACACGACATGTTTACTAAAAACATCCATGTTATGACCACTACCACATCATCGGCTCACTCTCCATGCTCGACACCGTCACCTGAAAAATGATTAGTGGGGGGCGTGAGCATAAAAGAAACAACGATGCTCCGCAGACACCAGCACTAAAATATACAACTAATATAATAACATATCATGACATCCGCATATATGCAAGTACTTACTGAATCGGCAGAAACGATATGATGATGAACATTTTACTAACTGATTAAACATTCATCCATTAAATACTTAAATCGACAACTATCTATAGCTGCTACTTAACTGACTGCCTATAACTGCCGTTTAGCTGACTGTCTATAATGGTTGCTAGATTGGCTTACTATAACTGCTGCTCAACTAACTAACTATAATTGATGCTCAACTGACTAACTATAATGGCTGCTCAACAGACGAACTATAATGGCTGCTCAACTGACGAACTATAACGGCCGCTCAACTGACTCATTATAATTGCTGCTCAACTGACTCACTATAACTGCAACATCGCGAATTAAACATACCTCTGATATAATAAGCACATCACACCCTAAGCATACACCTAAATACCTCTGATATAATAAGCACATCTACTATAATAGAACACATCACAAATGCGTACAAATAAGTACATCTACTATAATAAGCATATCACATACCTCTGATATAATAAGCACATCACAACCTAAATATACATCTACTATAATAGAACACATCACAAATGCGTACAAATAAGTATACTGTCTATAACTGCTGCTCAATTGACTATCTATAATTGTTGCTCAATTGACTGTATATAATTGCTGCTCAACTGACTGTATATAACTGTTGCTCAACGGACTGCTTAACAGGCGAGAAGGACACTAGGTCTTTACTCTCACGATAAGCAACTGTGACCTAATCTGTAGGTCGTTACCCATACTAGGGCAAAACTAACTCTTATGCACTCTTAAGGTTGGAGCTTAACTCACAACTGCACTAAAGTCCTTGATACTAATTGGGGATTCGAAACACTTGGTTATGACGAAATCTATCTCTAGATCAATGTCCCTTAGGGAAGAATTATTCTAAGATTATCTGAAATTAAACTTAACTCAAAGATGCTCTAGGGTTCTGAATTCACTTAACTCATAGCTGCACTAGAATTCTTATCTCATCTTAACTAGCGTTCGATTCACCTAGCTAGAAAGGATCTACTCGCTAGGTAAGTGCCTCCATTCGGGCAGAATCTTACATACATACCTCAGCCATGGTATTACGATTATAGAAAATGTAGTACCCAGAACAGGGTCCCCAACTGATATGCAGAAATGCAAGGTCTGAATGGTTTGCAGCTGTCGGAGGCTCGACTCTCCACAAGCTACAAAATATATAAGCATAAAATATCTACTAAATACTTATCTTAACTGAAAACTTGAATTATATTATCTGAGCTGACTAGGTTCGCTAACTCGGCTTTAAAATTGTTTTAGTGATTTACGAGCTGATTGTTTGAAAACTTATTGTCTTTGTCTCTTTGAGGCATACTAGAGTTCTCTGAAATTTCTAAGTTTGAAACTAAAATCTGACTTAATCTAATCTCACTGAAATCTAAAATTTATTTGGATCTTCCATCTATCTTGAATCTTAACTTTATCTGAAATATATCTGAAATTCTATCTGGAATATACTTTCAATCGTCCGGACTGACTGGACTGGTTCGACTGAACTGGACCGACAGCTCACCCGGAGCCAATCGATCATCCGCTTGACTATGTGCAGCTCGGTTTGACCGTGGTCTGAGTTCGGCGTGGCAACTCGGGGCTGACACGAACCCAACTAACACGGCTTAGCCGATGCACAAGTTTGAAATGGTGCCACGGTCACCGACACAGGGGCGTGCTTAGACCACGGCTAACGGAAACGGCGCGTAGACGGTAGGTCGGATGGACTCGGTGCACGAGCACGCACTCGGTGGTTTGACTCAGACTCGGTGCATGGGCTCGGCGGTTCAGCTCCAACGGTCGGACGAGAGTCAAGCAAGTGTGCGGGACGACGATACCCATTAAGGATTAATTCAATGACGTCTAAAATTATTAAAATGGTACTAAGGTTCGGTCGGTTAAACTTGGATCTGAAAAATACCCAATTATCTGAACTGGACAAAACTAGGGTTTCTGATTCTCGAACATTTTAACTCATTTTAAGCCAATATTTAAATCACTAATTTGTGATTTATAATGATTTTACATCCAACAACTGCAGCTAAAATTATATCCGACTAATTTTCTACAATTATCGCATTTTACCGGCTAAAGTCTCGAGTTTTAACCGACGTCAAACGGCATCCAAAATTAAAAAAAACTCAAAACAGAACATCCTCATAATATACGTGGTCTATAGTCAAAATATCGTAACCCAATTCAACTCCTAACACATTCAACCGAGAATCGCTTCAACCGGTCAAATACACATAAAAATCGGTTCGCCTATCAAACGAACTCCAAACTTTACAAAATTTGAACCTAAGCCTCAAGACATTCAATTATGATTTATCGAGTAGGTTTCATAATTTTCTGGGTCAGCTGTAACACCCCACTTTGATTTTAAAGAAATCTCGAGCTTTCTAAAAACCAGAACAAATTTTTCGAATTCATTTTCGAAAGTCAAGGGCATTAACCAACACAATTTAACTAGTCCAAGTCGTGACTGGATTCACGGGGATTCTTAAACCCGATTTTTCACAAGGTTTTCATTAACCTGATTCACATCTCAACATAATAATCGATATGAACAATGGAACTTCAAAAATTAATCACCATGAATATCCAAGGTTCAAAAAGGGTTTACCAAATTATTTCCCAAACATCAAGCATAGTTCAAAAACAGTTTCATATGTTCAAAATATTAATAGGGTTCATAAAGACCACATTATTAAAACGGAAGCAAAATGAAATAACTAATAGACCACCACTCGCCATTCGCCCCGTCATCCAGCCACTGCTTAACCTGCATCCGTGAAGAGCAGGTGGGAATGAGCACAAATGATAAAGGAGTGCTCACTACTATGCACATAATCACATGTTAATATGGTATGGTCGCAGCATGAATATAAATCAATCATCATCATGTCTCATCTCCTAACAATCACAACAATAACTCACTCATGTGCACATCTATCATTAGCCGCAGAAAGGGGATGCATAAACCCTAACGACGGGAGTGCGTGCCACTGTAACAGACACGGCCTTTCATTAGGTCTTAAGGAGACTTGCCTCGCAAGGGCAACCGTACCGTAACTCGACGGGGACAACCGTACCAACGGCCGTAACAGCTCACATCAGTAGGCCACATGGTTCACATTCATACATTGGTCATACCAACTAAACATTAATCAACACGTATGGCATAGACCATTTTTATAAGTAAACCCACCTGGATGATAACAAGCGAAAGCACAACAATAACGGGTAGGCGGCGAGCTCGGCTCGTCAAGCACCTACATTTATTAAAATAGTCCTATAAATGACTATTCAACTCATGACCAACTAATCATAACAATCACTTAGTCCAAATAAGCTCACATAAGCATTTAATCAAAGAAATCTCATTTTCGAAAATATCAGGCAAAATAGCTCCTTATATCACAACCTTTTACCAAATTGCTAAAACATCACGACTTTTTGACCTTGGCAGAGAATATCACAACCTTTGATTTCTTTGCA